GACGCATTGGTCGCCATGGCCATGGGCACAGAGGCAAAAGAAGCCGCGGTGTCTGAGCTCCGGAAGGCCTTGGGCGACAAGGCCCCGTCTGTCCGCACAGCTGCCGCTAAAGCCTTGGTCTCCGTGGGCGCAGAGGCCGTGCCGGAGCTCCGCAAGGCTTTGGAAGACGATGACCGGCTTACCCGCCTAGCTGCAGCTAAAGCATTGGGCTCCATGGGCACAGAGGCAAAAGAAGCCGTGCCGGAGCTGCGGAAGGCCTTGGGCGACGCTGACGCGCCTGTCCGCACAGCTGCCGCTGAAGCCTTGGTCTCCGTGGGCGCAGAGGCCGTGCCGGAGCTCCGCAAAGCTTTGGAAGACGATGACATGTCTGTCCGCATAGCTGCAGCTAAAGCATTGGGCTCCATGGGCACAGAGGCAAAAGAAGCCGTGCCTGATCTCCGGAAGGCGTTGGGCCGTTCCGGTATCGGACTAGCAGATCGGGTCCGCTTAGCTGCCCTTAACGCATTGGTCGCCATGGGCACAGAGGCAAAAGAAGCCGCGGTGTCTGAGCTCCGGAAGGCCTTGGGCGACAAGGCCCCGTCTGTCCGCACAGCTGCCGCTAAAGCCTTGGTCTCCATGGGCGCACAGGCCGTGCCGGAGCTCCGGAAGGCTTTGGAAGACGATGACCGGCTTACCCGCTTAGCTGCAGCTAGAGCATTGGCCACCATGGGCACAGAGGCAAGAGAAGCCGTGCCGGAGCTCCGGAAGGCCTTGTTGGTCGACGATTTTGATTTTCGAGGAGCTGCCGCTGCAGCTTTGGTCTCCACGTTCGCACACTCCGTGCCGGAGCTCCGGGAGGCTTTGGGTGGTACTGAATATTACCTTGTTCGGAGAGGTGCCGCTGAAGCCTTGGCCACCATGGGCACAGAGGCAAAAGAAGCCGTGCCGGAGCTCCGGGAGGCTTTGGAAGACGATAACCGGCTTGTCCGCTTTGCTGCAGCTAGAGCATTGGGCGCCATGGGCACAGAGGCAAAGGAAGCCGTGCCGGAGCTGCGGAAGGCCTTGGGCGACGCTGACACGTCTGTCCGCACAGCTGCCGCTGAAGCCTTGGTCTCCGTGGGCGCAGAGGCCGTGCCGGAGCCAGTCGGGGCTGCTCAGCCTTGAGGTCGGTTGATGTATAGAGTTTGCTTCCGTCCGCATGGCAGAGATCCTCTTGCGGAATGTCTGCATGCAGACTGCAGAACGAAGCATGTGGAAAAGGGGAGAGCTTGCCGAGGAGGAGTTCGAGGTTGTTGACGATGATTGCTTTTGGGGGCCGGGATGTTGTTTCTGGTCGTGCTTGTGGCGCTCGCAGAAATTGTCATGGTGGCGGTGGGGTTTTTACCCAAGGTGACGAGTTTGTCGAGTCCAGCAATGGCGGGCTTCCGCTTTGATAGGGTCTTCTCGTATGTGATCGTGCTTACTTGCAGGTGTGTATTCTGACTCCTTGGAACTTGCCTCCGGCCCGGACAAGAAGAAGGCATGCGATGTCAAAAGTTTCCTTATCGAAATGAGACTGCGTGTTCGATGTTAGCATGATCATGGTCAGGTGGGCGAGGAGGCAGGCAGCCGAGGCCGACTTTCCCAAAGTTAGGCTGCAGATTCAGAGTCACATTGTGTTCGTGCCCAGTCCATGCCACATGCAATCGAAGTCCATAAGATTGATTGTCATGATTTACGGAACAGCCAACTTTGCGAAGGAATGGCTTGGGCGTGCTGCGGCATGCGCGGCTGGAGACAAAACATGGAGGCGATTGTAATTGTAACTAGCTGGGATAATAGAAGTTGGGGTTTTTCGTTATGCGCCGAAAGTCTGGCCATCGGCTGGTGGCAGGATGCCTCGTTGATGTTGCTCGCACCCCCCTAAACTCACAAATATCTGTTTCTTCTTATTCTTCATTTCGTCACTGGTATTATGACTACGATCGGCCGTGCCGGAGCTCCGCCAGGCTTTGGCTGGTACTGAAACAACAGTGCCAGTCGGGGCTGCTCAGCGTTGAGGTCGATGTATAGAGTTTGCTTCCGTCCGCATGGCAGAGATCCTTTTGCGGAATCTTTGCATACATGCAGAACGAAGCATGTGGAAAAGGGGAGAGCTTGCCGAGGAGGAGTTCGAGATTGTTGACGATGATGCTTTTGGGGGCCAGGATGTTGCTTCTGGTCGTGCTTGTGGCGCTCGCAGAAATTGTCATGGTGGCGGTGATGATGTCTGCGGCGGCGTTGTTGGTGTTGTTGGTGAGGGTGAGGGTGAGGGTGAGGGAAGCCTGAGGGAAGGGAAAGGGAAGGGCGAGGGAAGGGTGGGGGAACGGTGAGGCTGAGGGTGAGCCTTTCAACAGCCTCTCTGGGCATTTGTGCATCAGATCCTGCTAGAGTCCTTGCCTTCTGTTTGATAGTGCTGTCGCCCCCGTTCTTTTCGCACATTAGCCACACAGCCAGCAGGTAGAGCCGGGTGTGCGAGGGCTGAAGTCTTCGAAGCAGGTCCAGCGACGGGCGAGGGGCAAGCCGCAGACGACATCAGGCAGCCGCAAGATCGCAGACCCGCAGATGTTGATCCTGCATATCTAGCACCAGAGTGTTTGCGACAGGACCTCGTCAAAGCACGCAGTGGTGCAGCATGTGTAAGTCACGGCAGTCCTTGCCAGGCTTTCGGGTCCGAAAGCCCAAGAACAACGCCCTTCGCACCTCTGCAGCACACATGTGCAGACAGGGGAGGCGCAGAGCGAAGAGTGCGAAGCATCCGCAGAACGCACTGCCTTGCTACCTCAGGTAACAGCAGCGTGGCAACCTTTGAGGAGCTCATTTAAACAGCAAGTGCCTTCATGCTGTGGAACAGACTCGGTTTAGGAGTTACAGGGGTTTAGAGTTTATCCATGCGTACCGCCCTCGGAGCCTCCCTCAGCCTCCACTCCACTTTTCGGAACAAATGCAGCGAAGCCCTAGTAGAGAGTCTTTTGACGTTGCATCCGGCAGGAGCTGACGGCCAAGCAGCGCTATGAGCCTCTGTGCCATATGTGCCCCAGCTGTAGCCTGCCGTCTGCGTGTACTCACGGTGTCAGACGTAGATAGTTAGGATGCCAGATGCCGAGGCGACGTACCGGCGTTCAACATATCTGACATGAACGTCAGGTACCGCCGGCGCTTTGTCCGGCCCAGGCCAGACAAACGGGCGCATCAGGGTCCTTAAGCTTCTGAGTTGCATCCGCAGCTCTCCAGCCGATGACAATGTTATGGAACTAGATCGTTGCGACATTCAGCGTCAGATCCCCGATGTGATGTGCATGCTGTACCTCAGCTTTCCGGTAGCTGAACTCACTCGTTGCATGGCCTACACCGCAACACCCCTCATCGTCACTGTGTATAACCAATCCTAAAGGCCTTCAAATCCTTTCGACTTCGAAAGCCCTACAAGCTCTAGAAGCCCTGTGAGCTCTGACCGAAGGCGTTCATAATCCCCTTGTACAGGCGCAAGCCCATCAGCCCGGAACTAAACGGCTGGACCTTTATGTTTGAGGGCTTTAGGTTTTAGGATTTAGGGTTTTAGGGTTTTAGGGTTTAGGGATTTGAGTCTAGGTAGTATTGTTGCATCGGCTGTTTCCCTGGAGTTAGGAGTCATACTGGACAGCTGTTCATACAAAAAGCACCGGTGACGGTATTAACAATGAGATTTCTATTGTGGTGGGCCCGGTCAGAGTTTCCGATCAACATATTCACAATCACAAGGCCTGTTCCGTAAGCTTACAACCCGTCGCGCCCTGAACCTCACACCGACGAAGTCATAGACCCAGCAATGCCAACAGGTTTTAAAGCAGCGAATCGTAGACGACAGCCCCATGCAGCCCGTTCTTTGATGCTTCCAAGACCCAGCCATGCTGCCCAGGTCCGGTCACTACAAATTCTTTGGCGGAAACTGAGCAAGGCCCTGGGAGCCGGTGAGTAGCGAGTTGTCGTTTGAGTCTTGGGTCGTGCTGGTCCAGGCTGTATGGGATGACAAATGGGAGTTTCCGAAAATAGGGGTACCTTATTGTGGGACCCTTATAATAAGGATCCTACTATTTAGGGTGCTCTATTAGGGTCCCCTATTTCCGGAAAGTCCCAAATTTGACAGCTGCAAGAAGTGTTTGGTGAGAGCTTAGCGCACAGAGCTGTGAAATGCCGTGAACCTCTGAACCTCCAAATCCACGGCTGCATGACTTCATGTGGTGGTTGCTGTCGTGCTCTAGAGCATTTACGCTGACCACGTATGTTGGATGTCAACTTCCCTCGTGCCAGGAAGTACCGCGTGATCGACTTCGGGCGTACTAAGAGGGACATACCACGACCCCAGCTCTTCCTTGGGGCAAGTACTAAGCCAAAGCTGTGGTCCATCGAGCCTTGGCCTCGAACAACCATAGCTGGGCCTCGCCGTCGGGTAAGAAGTCGAGTAGGTAACCTCTACACTTTACCCTTTCTCATGTTTTCCCACATCGTCCCAAAGGTTCACGTCTATTCCCTAGGGTACTGGACAAGTAGGTAAGTAAGTTGGGTCTGTAGCCTGTCTGGTGCTTTTACATTCGTGAAGTTTGTCTGTCATACCGAGGACCGGCAGGCGTACCTTAAACCCGAAACCCTAAACGGAGATGCAGCACGAATTTGCGGCCCTACTGTGCAGGAAATCAGAAACCTACTCTCATTGTTTTTGGATCCGTGCTCGTCTTCAGAACCCTCCTTATCGAGTCACGTGAATGCTATTCAGCAGGGGCTGGCATACGAACTGTTGATACTGGTCAACTACAGTCGTCGACGTTCTTTGCGATTCCGTGCGACACATACATTTGTTTGATTTGAGCATGATGCTGACTTGGTCTAAAATGCTCGGAAAGCCACGAACCGCAGATTGTGACTGTTCATGCATGCTGATTCGCAGTGTGCTCGAGGTAGGGACGTGAGGTGCAGAGCCTCCTGCGGATGCTGTTAACCGCCAGAATCTGCAAGGATGCAAGGGTATGGGCCCTAAACCCAAGGGCCCGAAACCTGCAACTCAACCCACACCAGATCTGTGCGGCTCGAATTTGTCGGAAGATCGCTGTCATGACTACTGTTGGGTTCGGAACTTTCCAACCGCTCAGCAAGAAAGTTTATTGAAAGCAACTCCATCGGAGCTTGCTTTCGGCAAGCATGAATGCCCGCCTTATCTTGTCTGCAGCTGTATCATGGCCTCGCTATCCCTTCCCCAGGCATCTCCGATGGTTTCGCCATGGAGGTGCGTTAGATGCATTGTGACGGCCACAATGTTTGCAGGCTTTTTGGCATTGGTCGCAGATGACATGGCTCTTCCCAGATCGATGCATGGTAACTTCATTGCCCATAACGAGGAACTGGCAGTGAACATGTGCAGAATCGAAGATCGTGGTTGCCTGCAGGCGGGCACTTGGGTACAGTCGGGGCAGAAAGAGGAGCAGATCTTTCCCCTCTACGAAAGCTGCTCCAAGAGATTTTTCCACATCTGTGCGAAGCCCAATGCTGCATGGAAGTCCTTGGGCTTCAATGTCTCAGCGACTGGCGCGCAAGACTTTCGAATGAGACGTTTGCTGTCCTGGCTCTGGGTGCCGGCGAATGTCGACTGCAACTTGAGCAGCAGGAGCTCCTTGGTAGAAGCCTTGTCTGGTCGGCGTGTGTTGCTGATAGGAGATTCAATAACAAAGGAACATTACGTCTCGCTGCGCTGTCTCGTTGGTGATGCGGCAGTGAAGGAGGAACGTGAGCACCTGCAGCCGCCGGAGCACTCTGTTGTCTCGCTGCATGGGGGCGGCTTCATCCAGTTTTATCGGCTCAACACTTTTGTGCAAGAAAGCACAGATGTCGTCACACCTGATTGGCCTTCTCAGCTCGTCCGCGAGGCTGATGTTGTGATCCTGAACACGGGTGCTCACAAACATGCTCGGCTCGGGGATGGACAGAACAGAACGGCGGTTGCGGAAATGGCCGAAACGGTTGCCAAGACGTTGCAATCGCAAAATCAGCACGGGGTGTTTATTTTCAGATCACACTTCCTTCCGCATGCAAATTGCGAAGAAGTAACGGCTCCCATAAGTAGCTTGGACCGAGTCCCGCGGCTCACGCCCTTCAACTGGCACACTTTTGCAGATCAAGACGAAGAGTGGCGAAACGTGTTCGAGCGCAGTGGTCCACGGTTTGTATTCTACAATATCACATTGGCGACTAGTTTGCGGGCTGATGCCCACACGGTCTTATTGAAGACGCCTTCAATCCGTGATTGTCTCCACTTCTGCTTGCCTGGTGTTGTTGACCTCTGGTCTCTGTATATCATGGTCGACGTTTTCCAGAAGTTGCGAAGTTGCCAGAGCGTCGAAGTGGATTCGCAGGCGTCAAAGAACGGCATCCCTTCAGACTATGAGGGGCTAAGTATGAGAACTTGGCAGGTGCAGTTGATGATCGGTTCTATCGCCACACTTAGACTTGAACTTCCGTGCTGGAGAGGGGTGCTGCACATGTCCTTCGCACGCTTTGGAATCCCCAGCCTTCAACCCTGGCCGTCTCCGACATGTTAGCTGCTCTTGGAGCTTCGTTTCAATAGGACTCCAGGAATGCGGCTGTGGGGGACTTCAGAGCGCCAGGGAGGTGATGCCTGGAATAGGGATTCGGGCCTCCGGCTTGTGGGGCTTTGGAGGATCGGGAGTTCAGCTTTCGGGTGTTGCTGCGGGTGTCTGCTGCACGCTTCGAGCTGTTGAAGATGTGCAAGAGACATGCGCCCGATTTGCCAGCATATCGTCTATCTCGTGTTCTTGCCGCACACCAAACCCATGCCCCAAGCTTGAAGCCCCAAAGCCCCAAACTGGTAAACTCCCCGACCGGTAACAATCCCTCGAAACAAGAGGATACCCTTGGCATCCCTTGGCTGTTTTCCAACAGCCCCATGCCTTTTGAAGCATGGCCATTCATTGAAGGCTGAACCCCGCAACTCGGAATAAGTTTACGCCCGCCCGAACCTCCCAAGCCCTACCCCCCCTCATGCCCGTGCTTTTCGGTGTTCAGTCTCAAGTTGTGATGGCCGTGATAGGTGCTATGCATTGTGGTGCTGCTATGACAAACATGTCAGTAGGTCTTGAGCAAGTGCAGGCGTATGCATGAGGAACGCATGCAAGCATACATACATGTTTACATAGATGACTAAGCTAAAACAAATAGCCAGATACATATACATGCACGCACACAAAAGTGTGTCTTTGGACGCAGATGTAAGTGCAGGAGAACCGAAAGCATAACTGACGACTTCCTAGAGTGTGCGATGGAGCAGAACACAACAGACTCATGCAGTTGACGATACCAAATTGAGGCAATGAATCTAGCATTTCCAGAGAACCTTCGAGATGAACATGGCTCCGCCGCTTGGCCTTAGCAAGCCCTGCGATGAACCAATGGAGAGCAGGGGCCTTGATTTTCTCCAGCTTCTGCCTGGGGTTACAATATTGCACACTGGTGCGCCTGAGTTGGGGCAGCCAGCCTTCTGCAGAGAAAGCCGAAGACCCCGGCTCCCATCATCATGCGGAGCCGCAGCACCTGGACGCCGCGAGCCGTTGTGTGGTATTCTGTTTTGCTACAAGGTTTCTACATCTTGTCGGGAAGGGTTAAGGGCTGCAAACCGGTCTTAGGCATGCCGGAAGGGTATGCTTTGCCATAGCCGCAGTGCCGTCTTCACTAGTGCCGAACCCGGAGACTTGCCAAGCCCAAACCCTGCAAGCGAAACAGAGAGAATCAGGCATTTGTCGATCATCTCCCCATGTTTCAGAGGTGGTCATTTCGCATTGCGACAAGCCGCTGGGATGGATCTTCAACTATGCCCCCGTGTTGCACTATGCATGTCTGAGACTCCCGAAGGATTCGATGTGGGGTCTGCAAGGCAATGTGGGAGAACAAGAGAGACCTAAAAACCTAGAGAAGCTGAGACCCCAATTCCTGGACTCTCAGCCCAGAAATGAAATCCTGAGCCAATCCCCAAAACGACCCAAGAACGTCAAGCAAATCGCTGGAGCCAAGGTAACCAGAAACGTCTCCAACGTGACAGTCGTCAGCAAGTGCAACCAACGAGTAGAGGGAGCACCCCCTCAAGCTCGGATTGTACCTGAGCTACTTTACATCTTGTGCTTGTCTCCATGATGTCTTAAGGCCGGCAGTGCTACAGGGCACGCATAGCAGTCGTTGTCGTCATCACCGTCGTAGTGCGTTGCAGTGGTGGTGTTGGTGCTGGTAATGTTAGGTAGTTGCAGCAGCAGTCGCTGTAACTGTAGCTTTAGCTCAGTAGCAGTAGCAGTAGCAGTAGGGAAGTCTTTGTATGCACATGCAAGTCAGTGCATTCGTGTGATTATACATATGCGACAGTGACCAGCATGCCTTTTGCTGTAGTTTTTTACACTGGCAAGAATCCATGCAAGCTAAGCTGCTTTTTTGAGGGTGCGGCAACAGTGCCAGGTGCGGTCGCGCAACGTGGGCCGCTGCGATCATACGTATGCACAATGGCTGGCGCAGCTGCAGAATCACATTCCGCCTGATCGGAGGGCATCTGACCTGGTACTGCTCCTCGGCTTGGACTCACAAGCTCGAGGGTAACCATGTGTAGGAGTCAAGAGCTTCGAGTCACAGCCGAGGTTTATAAAGGACAACGATATGTCGGCCCGGTCGGTCGAGCATGAGGTCGGTGATCATGCGGTTCCATTTGATGAGATGCTCGCCAGTGCCACGGGAGCTTCGCGATTCGCCTGTGGGCGTCGGATGGGGGTTTTCCGGAAGGGCGGGCCGCGCGCCAGCATTTTTCATGTCAAGGCTCTGATGGGCACCTTCCAGATGGACGTCTACAACAGGACTGCGAGCAAGCTGGCATCTTCTGGAAAAGAGCCCTTCAAGTCAAAGTACAGGAACCTGATGGCCTGGATGAAGGATCTTGGGATTGCCGAAATCCTCAAGAATCAGACAATCTTACCGGCGTGCTACGGCGGCAACTTCCTGACGTCTTACTCACAGACGGTCCTTCCGGTGTCAGACCTCTGGCAGCGAATCGAGACGTCTCTCTCCCGATCCGACAGCATTGAAGAAGGTCACTTCACAGAGAGATCCTGGGCCGCTTTGCTCTCCGGTCGCCTAACGCTGCAAGAGGAGGTGAGGGCCTTCAGGAGCCTCCGAAGGATTCAATTCCGGCCTCCCTTGTGTGGAATGATCATGGTGAGCCCGAGGCTTTAGACTCTCTGAGCCCCGAGTGTTTTGCCCGAAATCACCCGAAAAAGAAGGGCTGTCAACTCCCCCAAAACCCTATTCTAATTACTAAGGCCCCTAATATAGAGCCCTACTATAGATCCCCTATAGGCCCCTGAGACCCTAAGCCACGGGCGGCGAGCCGATCCTCAGCCCTAAACTCTGCGCTGCGATGCGACTGGTCGATGGTGAAATGTGCGAGCATGAGGGCCTGTCTCCAATCAGGGATGCCCCGAAATACCCTCGGTTCATGCACTCGCCACCTCTAGGCTTACCGCCTACCGGTTGGGTCCGAAGCAGATCTGATCGCCAGAGCAGCTAGATGCCGATGCCGATGCTGCTACTGATCATGGTGGTGATGGCACGATGGCGGTCATGCAGTTCATCCCGGAACATGAAGCCGCTGGTAGAAAGCGGTGACTTCAACATTTCCCAGAGCCTAATCTCCGCACAACTGACGATGGTGATGATGATCATGGCGACTGTGGTGATGATCACGGTGAGGGTGTGCGACCAGGAGAATGACGATGATAATGATGATGACGATCGTGACGATGATGGTGCTGTGGATGCCAGTGACAACGGTGACAATCATGACAGTATACTATTGCCCTCCTGCTCCTCCTCCTCCTCCTGGTCTTTCTCCTCCTCCTCTTCCTCCTCCTGGTGGTGGTGCTGCCCCTGCCACGACTACTACAACAACCATTGCCACGACTATCCACGACTACTACGCACCGCCAGCACCGCCAGCACCACGAGCACCACTACCACCACCGGCAGCGCCAGCAATACTAGCATCACCAGCATCCCCATCACTGCCACTAGCACCGCGGTTAGCATCGTTTCCGTCGTCATGTTCACAGATTGCTCTAACCGTGATCACGCTTCGGCCTTGGGGTGCTGTTTGGCTGCAAGCCCAGCATCCCCGGAGAGTTGGGTGGTCTCCTGATATCGTACGAGTTCATGCGCCTTGGCAACATCAGGGTTCTGTCGGTAGGGTTCAGGCAGGGCGTAGGGTGTGGTTTCGGGTGTAGACCACAACTGGCACTTCGACTTAACAGAAACCAGCAGAAAAGTGCTCATTGGCTTTAATACCAGCAGCGACAGCAGAATTTTGCAGTAACAACAAAGAAAACGACAACAACAACTACTCCTACAAGGACACTCTATCTACACGTGATAGGTACAAGACCTATAGCACTTGTAATAGCATGGCAGTGACAGTGCGACATCAATTCTGACATACTTGAGACTTCCTTGCTTCTTACATGCATGAGACCTTGGACCGGCCGTCGGCGATTAATGTTGCTCAAACAGCTCATGAACTGATCAACGAGTTCATTTACATGGTCGTCCATTATGTCTAGTTCATGCGTTGTCGCAGTAGTCGAGTAGCCTGTGTGTGCTTATCACATCGAAGGAGACCGTTAGTCACCGTTAGCCTCAGCCAGAGAAAGAAGCAGCAACGATGCAACACTAGGGCAGGCAGAAAAGAAGCAGATTGCACAAGATTGACTGTGACCATGATAAAAAATGAGTCATGAGCAGGAAAGCGACAATGAATCAGAGTAGGGTGCATGCCTGCATCGAAGAGTCATTATGTAAGACAGCTGATGATGCGAGATGTTGAACAAGAGGATGACAATAGATGTTGGTGCAAAGTGCTGAGTATTTTTCGCAGTGCAGTAGCAGTAGCAGTAGCAGTAGCAGCAGCAGCAGCAGCAGCAGCAGTAGTAGCTGTCTTTTTAGTTGCATTGGTAGTCGTAGTCGTCGTCGTTGTAGTCGTAGTCGTAGTGGTCGATAGCAGTAGTCATGGTGGTGGTGGTGGAGGTGGTAGTGGTACTGGTAGTGGTAGTGGTAGTGGTAGTGGTAGTGGTAGTGGTAGTGGTAGTGTAGTAGTAGTAGTAGTAGTAGTAGTAGTAGTAGTAGTAGTAGTAGTAGTAGTAGTAGTAGTAGTAGTCGTAGTAGTCGTAGTAGTAGCAGTAGCAGTCGCAGTCGCAGTCGCAGTCGCAGTCGCAGTCAGTCGCAGTAGCAGTGGCAGTAGCAGTAGCAGTAGTAGCAAGTAGCAGGAGCGGCAAAAGTAGCAGTAGCAGTAGCAGTAGAAGGCGTAGCAGGAGCAGTAGCTGGGGCAGTGGTAGTGGTAGTGATATCAGTGGTGGTAGAATAGAAGTTCTGAGATTTGGCTTTGGTCATGGCTAGGGGCACGCACGTGTAACTCGACCATGCTTACGTCCACTCAACAGTACTGCTGGCGGGAGACCTCTATGTTATACCCCCCCAAGTGATGAAGTCAAAAAAGAGATGTCCGAGGTCATCGTGCGCTGCGGAATGAGATGGCGATGCTTTGCTTTCTTGCTGGCGAGAGGAGCAGCTTGGATGCAGTCCCAGAGTCGAGGGCCCTCCCTGCCTCCTTTGCTCGAGTTCGTAGTGGACACCAAGTTGTTGTGCAGCTTTTCGCGAGGGCCAGTAATGCCAGCATTGATCTTGGCTGACACAAGTTGAGCTGAGAAGTACCACCAGCATGCTGGCTTGCTTGATGCCACTGTGAACAGGCTCTGGGATATGGGACTGACACGCTGCGAAGCTCTGTGCTTGACCACGATGTGCCAGAGTGGCGCCTCGTCTGCAAGCTTTGTGGCCGAGAATTTCAGGCCTGGGGATCCTTGGGCGCTAAACCCCCGAAGGTCGACGGGGCCCCATCAGAAACCCTAAAGCCCAAGCCTTACGATCTCAAAGCCGTGGCTTCTAAGGAAGAGCGACCATTCCTTGCAGACCGTCCAGAGATCCGATTCTTGGCCAGCACGGCGCGGGGTTCTTGCACTGAGGGCAGTCTGATGAATTTGGGGGCCCCATGGGGTCTTCACCAAAGAATGCTGTCTCCAAAGCTCTAAACCCTAAACCCTGATTTAGAGCCGAGTTGAAGGGCCCCCAACATTTCCTTCCAAATGTTGAGAGGTACACAAACTACTGTTGATGATACAAATCCTGCATTACCTAAAGGACCGTGATTTATATCATCAACCGTATGGTTAGAAGAGCCCTGGATTTGACGAGGCTCTGGGGACCAGTGCGCCTGGAGCCGCAAACCTTGAACCCTACAGCCAGCACCCCTCAGCCTGCAAGGCCTTCCGACTAATTTTCAGGGCAGGAGGAAAAGAGGGTTAACAAAAAAAGCCAGCACCCTGACACAAAGCTCGACACTCCGACACCCTTTCTCGCCCGAGATGCCAGCCCCGAAGCCCCGCAAAGCCCTAACCGTCAGACCTGCACCTGAACTGCACCCTGAAAGATTAGAACGACTTCCTCCTAAATCCCAAAGCCACCAGGAAATGGAGATGAGCCGCGCGGCTGCCTGGCGAATGGACTGCCGCGCCGTCGCCCCCTCCGAGCTGATAGCTGCTTTGATCGCTTGGAGTTCAGGGTTAAGGTTTTGGTCTATCCTAAGGCTTGGGATTTTGGCATGTGGCATCTAGAGTGATGTGTCGAAGAGTTTTCTGCCTAAGGTCAACGACTGAGAGTATGTGCTGGTTTGGGTATTAGGGTTGGGATCTGGGGAACATCAGTGTTGGGTCGTTCAAGATGAACCCGTTGATTGACAATGCGCACAGGATGCCAACTTTAAGACTAGTTGTAAGCACAAGAGTAAGAGTTGGAGGAGCTGGAGCAATAGTCGCACATAGAACAGATGTACGTAAACACAGAAGAAGGGTTGGCATTTGCAACCATGCTAGCGCTAGTTGTAGAAATAGACTTACCCGGTTTGTAACATCGACAGTGTCAACAAAGAGTGTTAGGTAGGACCACCGAGCGTGCTAGAGTGAGTAGAGCATCAACCCGTGCTCTAGTATGCATGTTCGAGGTCGTGCAGCACAGCCAGGGTTTATGTGACTCTGAGATGCTAGAGTGCCACCTAAGGCATTGCGACACTCGTTCCTCTGACCCCTCTTAACCCTAAACCCTAAACCCTAAAGCCTAAACCCTGTGTTCCGTTCTCTTGCCAAGCCGAGGCTTCAAGCTGATGAGGGATCGGGCTTGGGGTCCTCAAAGCGTTTTGTTTCGGTAGGGCGGGGGAAGTTGGCTTCCTGAGCTTCTTGCTATGGTAGGGTTTGCGCTAGTCAGAGGTAGCCTTTTTGGAATCATTTTCTTCACTTCCCTGTGCCGGCAGCCGTGTTTGGGCACATGGACCAAGGACTACTGTGCCATGGTTCAGAACTGGGGGTGCCCTGGCGGCACTGTCCCTGTTGGGCCCCTGATCCTTGGGTCATCGGCCCTAAACCTCAGTCCACCACACAGCAAAGCCGGAGCCCGGTGAAGGAGTCTGGCATGCGATGCAATCCTTTCTCTCCTCAGCACAATAGCGGTTTTGGCAATGATAACACGGCAACGCCGACGACTACTATCTCTGTTGCCACACGCCACCGTCATTGCCTACGTTTAGGTCGACGACGACAACGACGACGACTGCTACTGCTACTGCTACTGCTACTACTACTACTACTGCTGCTACTACTACTACTACTACTACTACTACTCCTGCTGCTACTGCTACTACTACTACTACTACTACTACTACTACTACTACTACTACTACTACTACTACTACTACTACTACTACTACTACTGCTCCTGATCATGCACCTGTTGCTGCTTCTGATTCTGCTACTGCTGCTACTCTCTCGCATACTGCTACAGCTCGAGCAGCTATTTTTACTCGTACTCCTCCTCCTCTTCCTCCTCCTACTCCTCGTACTGCTTCTACTCCTACTGCTGCTGCTACTGCTACGGCAAGCATTAGTACGAAGTGGATCTTCTTGAGGCCCGGGTTTCCCCGAGCACGGTCGAACTTAGGCCATAAGGGTCGAAAGTTGCTGCTAGGTGGTTCGGAGAGTTTAAGTTGCCCTGCAAGGTACGTCAGCCTGCCGTTCGTGTTTATATGGGTCGTGGTGCTGATGTGGCTGCTCAACACTACAGCCCCTTTGCTGGCTTTACCGTCAGGATTCATGCACCAACGACCACGTAAACGAGAGCCTTTGAAACCACGGCTCGTAGGAGATAGGGTACACCCCCAAGTCCTGGTATCTAGAATCTAGACTCATGTGCTCGGTGCTGATGCTGCTCGTGAATCCTTCGTCTCTACCCCGATATGCTGAGGCTGAGGTCTACTTCGTTCCACCGCTTGTGCAGCTCGGAAGCCTTCCAAACTTGTTTCAGTGTTGGGTTTTGTGTTTAGGGATTAGCATTTGGGTGTGATTGGGGTTTGGGTTTTTTGCCGCCTCTTTTCGAGGTGTCTTGCCTGGGTACCTGATAAAACTTCCCGAGCACGACAGGAAACCATGCCAAGCCATGCAACGCGTCACACCCGGACTCAACTTTCAAGAGAATCATAGGCAACACACTTCCCTTGAACCCAAGTGTACTAGAGCTCATAGAGCTCAGATCTCTCGTCGAAGATCTTGGAGCAGTTTCTTCTCGTCAGATTCCAAGCCCAAGTCTCGAGGTACTGGTCCTCGCTGCTCAGCTTGCGGCCGGGAATCGCGGGGGCAACGTTTGTGGCCATTGGCAACGGTGCGCCGGACAGTGTGATGATGTTCCTGGCAGCTCGGCTGGGTATCTTTGGGATTTATGCGTTTGGCGCTTCGGGGTTTGAGGTGAGAGGTACTTGGGGCTTTGCTTCGGCAGCGTAATGTCTTTTGTGAGTTTCGATTTTCAGACGCAGTCGTCACGGCAAGCGGCTTTGACATCATCATGCAGTCTCAAAGACTTCGAGACCTCTAGTGAGTGTGCGACCTCAGTCCAGCAGTTTAGGTTACCTCCATGCTTTCTCTTCAAGCGATAGGACATCCAAGGGTTCTGAAGCGAAATCGAGAGATTCCCAGTGTTAGCGGCCTTCCTTGATCAAGGCATCGTCTTTTTGATGCTGAGGCCCCGTCGGTGCAAGATGCGCTGGACATGGTGCTCTGTGGCATCATGTGCAAGAAGCTTAGACTCTCGCTCTCGTGTGTTGCCATGAATTACGGTTATGAAACTGTGCCTGCATGGCATGGTTGCTGCTGCCTTCGTTGCTGTTTTCCTGTCTCCCTTGATGCGTATTACTTGTTGTCTTGCTAGCGCTGGAATCGAGGATCTAGAGCGAAGGATGTGGTTACGAGGCTCCACAAGGGCTTTGAGATCCGAGCCGAAAGTCCCCGAAAGTTTCAACCCCCCCAGGTCCCAAGTCCAAACTTTGGGCCCCAAACCTCAGGCAACAAAGCTTCGACTGTAAAACCTGCACCGGGGACATCCAAATCCGAAGTCCTAAGCCCCGATCGCACGTCCCTGAACAACCTGAATCGCCAGTGTTCCAGCTTCCACCCGCAAGCCTGGAAGCCTAAAGGTAGAAGCCTTAAGGACAACAGCAACAGCATCAACAACAACTGCCCCTACGATCCCGACCACGCCTACTACCACTACAGGTAGTGGTATCAGAAGTAGAAGAAGAGCCAGGCATCCTCTGCGTGGCCGGCGGCTGCGTGCTCCTGGCCAGGCTGAGGCTGCGAGTTCGCCCCGTGCTCAGGGGAGGATGGGAGTTCATCGACGTGCTCGCGAGATCTCTGCCTTGTCCTTTTCATCCTCGTTCCTGAGAATCCCGTCCCAAAAGTCCTGCACTCCTAGAGTCCCTGAAACATAAATTCTCTACAAGGACCCTTGCTGGCTTTAGGCTCCGATCGAGCACAGCTGAACGGAAAGGACGAGGCAAGCAGGGAGTTTCAGGGCATTTTTCTGAGGTTTCGGGTTTGGGGGTTCTTGACGGGGTTTGAGGCTTTCCGAGATTCTAGGTTTGGCGATCCTCAGACATACGAGCCACCCAAGAAAACACTCTTCTAAGTGATAGCTCTCTGCTGATTGTATCGAAGCTCCAGGAGCAAGAATCCCCGCCACGCTCCCAGGTTTGTGAACCCCTGGATCGCAGTGCTTACGTCCGGGTCTCAGAGACTGAGCTCAAGATACCTCAGACCCCCGAGGCGCGCTTTATGATGCAGGTTCGCGGAGCTAGGCTCGGGACAGAAGGTTCAGGTGAAGGGGGTTGAGGAACACCCCATCTGAACCCCGAGCGGATGGCGGCATCGGCTGCTGCGGCATAACTGCTGCAGCATGCGGCAGTAGGAGAAACAGCAGGGGGAGGAGGGAGAAGTCGTCGTTGTGGTCGTTTGCTTCAGAAAGAACCCTCGGCCCGCAACCCTACATCCGAAATCCGCAACTTGCAAAGCTCAACAACCAGCGTCGCACAAGGTGTCCTCAAAGAAGTTGCTCTAATGCCTTGGGTTGAGGAACCCTCGGCCCTCGACCCCAAACGCTAAACCCATCATCCGAAATCCGCACCTTGCAAATCTCGCCAGCTCAACAACGCGGTGTGGTTGGCCCTGGCGCTGAGCTACATGCTCTGGCTGCTCCGGGGCTGCAAGTGGCACAGGTTGAGGTTCGTGATTTCGGGCTGAAGGGCCACGGCATTCAAGCGTGCCGGAGTCTTTGTCTGGTTCGGCTTGCCGACGTTTGAGATTCTCAGGTTCAGGGTTGAGGATTAGAGGAGTTATGCACTTGTTCAGGCAGAATCCGGCAACAGGCCAGTTTCATAAACTGTCCCTCCCATCTTCCAACATTGGCCCAATAAGAGTCTGACTCCCCGGACTGTTGTGAGAAGTTGCAGGCAGCCTGTGGGCAATTCTTGGAATGTTCGCCGCGTTTGCACTATTGCCGAACATTAGCTTTTCAAAAGCGCCGAGCTTTTCGAGCGCTTTCAGTGCTGAGGGCAGCTCGGAGAGACCCGACGTTGCGCAGCACTTCCGGTAGTCACGATACTCGTGGTTGTATTTTGCTTGCTCGCCCTCTGGATAACCCCTCAATGTTAAGGACTGCCCCACCATTGCATGATAGTGTCATGTAGTGGCCGTATTGTACCCACCTCGTAGTAATCCATAGTAATCCTACAGCAGCCTTCGAGTAACCCTGTGGGAGACCGCCCGGAGGAAGGATTCTTTGCCCCTCTGAGGCTGTCCATGCGGCGGGTAACCCTCGGCCGTGCTCTGGTGATGCCTTTCATGCGCCCCCCAACATTGAGCTTCGGGCAAGGGTGTTGTATCTGAGGTGTAGGATTTAGTCGTCGGAGTTTGTGTTCTGGATGGTGCTGGTCGGAACAATAGCAACAAACCTGCCAAAGTCAGTAGTGCAGTCGCAGGATGGCTTTTCGGGGTCCACTACAAACTCTCAACCAGCAGGACCAGAGTTCGTGGTCCTCAGAAGATTCTAGCATAGATAGATCCTGAAACTCCGAGCTCTGATTAGGCGCCGAGGGAATTAGGACCCCGGGCCGGTGAGGTACCTTTGCTACCTGGCGTCACTCTTCTTGCTTCCCGACGGCTCCCTGGCTGGAGTAGCCACGAGCAGGGCACGTTCAGTGCTCTGGGGTTTCTAGGTTGAGGGAGATAGTTTGAGCCCCGAACCCATCAAGCCCAAACCGAAAGCCCGATTGAATCCACACCCACGCCTCGCGCTGAGAAAGCATAAATCCTCAGCTCTAAACCCTCAACCCTCAAACCCCAAGTCCGAAACACTGATGCCTAACAACATCGTAAACACGAGCCCTCAAACCCCCTAAAATCCCCTAAATCCTAGACCCTAAATCCCCTTAAAACCCCAAGCCCCAGATCCCCTTAAACCCCTAAATCCCCTTAAAACTCTCAGCACCCTTTCAGGCGATGTAGAAAAGGAGCTCAAAAAATTCCCTTAAGCTTTGAGCAGCCAGAGGCCGGGCTCCTTTCGCAGCCCCGACGGACCTGGGACCGGTGCCCTCCTTGCCCGGCCTGGCGCAGCCCGCAAAGGCTTCCGGAAAGGGGAGGGGGGGGTTAGGGTTTAGGGTTGAGGGTTTAGGGTTTAGGGTTTTTTTTTTTTTTTTTGAGGCTTTGTGGAGGTGTAGGGGGTGTAAAGTTCAGGGCTAGGGTTTAGGATTTAAGGTTTCAGAGTTAGTTTTGGGTTGTGTCAGTGCCCCGCAAGGATCTATACTGATCTTTATGGGATCATGTTAAGGGATCTCAAACGGTTCTATCAGGGTTCCATACAGGACCTGGGAGGGATCTGTAAGACTTCCAAGCGGGATTGCTGTTTCCGCGCAAGAAGGCTTGTAGAGGTTTTGGGTCAAGGCTGTATGATCAAGGCTTGGGCAAATGAGGTGCCCTTTTTTGGAGGAACCCCTTGCGAAGACGCTGAACCCGGGCGCCGGCTCAACTCAACCAGGGAAAAGACTACCAGCACGACAGCACGGAAAGTCACACGCTATGGCAGACAAGACAAGAGCACCCACCTGACAAACCAAACCCCACATCCTAAACCTTAAACCCTAAGCCCCGCCCCAAACCCCAAACCCTAAACCCTAAACCCTTAACCCTTAAAACCTTAAGCCCTAAACCCTAAACCCTAAACCCTAATTGAATGAAGCTAAGCACTGAAACGAAGCTGCTCAGGGCGACCTCGGCCAGCTGCTTCTTTGGGCCTTGGCGTGGTGGACGACTTAGTGTCGTGTCATCCCCCTTAATAATTGCAATGAATATCTGAATATCATCGGATTTTGTTAAATGTTTGTTACTGCTTAAATCGACCCTTGTGTTGGATTCCTTAAGTTTTTCTGATGACCCGAAGCAAGAAGTCAATTCTGCGCCCCAAACCTCGCAAAAACTAAGCCCTACACCCAAGCGATGTTAATCAACTGCTTCATGTGGCCTCCAATTCTTGTTGTAAGCGAAGCTACAGAGGTTGTCTAGGGTTCCCCAAGGGTTCGAACAGTGGTCTGTCAGGGATTCTTCAGCTCATCTCGTCGGCACCTTGTCCATCATCACTACGCAGTACCACGACATGCTTGCATAGGAGAAGTTTGCTGGCAACTCCAGGCCCCGAACTCCGGGCCTGTCTTGAAACTTCAAGCCCTCGGGCCCCAAACCTGAACAAGCCCACCTACACCGACGCGCCTAAACCCCAAACCCTCAAACTAAAAGCCCTAAAATCAAAGGCCCACCTACGCCTTGCGGTGGATGCTCATCCCACCTTCCGACTACTACTGGGACCGGTCGAGGCGAATCTTCTCGCGGGGGCCTCAAGAGGTCGACGTGCTTTGGCGATGCCTTTCTGATTGGCATACAGTAAACTCCATATAGTTGGAAACCGGATTAAGGCCAAATAGTGCTGGGATTCCCTATACATTACTCTTAAGGACAGAGGCTATTAGGTTTCCAACTTTTTGGCCTCTACTGTACAGCAAGGAAGGATTGATGTGTGTGCATACCTCCAAAACACCTATGGGGGGTTCCGAAAATTGGCGGTACCTTATTTTGGGGTCCTTACAATTTAGGGCACCGTATCAGGGTCCCCTATCTCTCGGAAACTCCCATATGCACATGTTAACAGATACACATGAATATTGACATGCGCATCTAAACAGATAGCAGACAAAGAGAGTAAAGCATGAATCAAATATACATAAATGACAGCATGCATAAACAGCTCGATAGGCCAGAAGATGAATAGACAAATTGTTGAGACGATAAATAGAGAGATAGATAGATAGATACGTAGATAGTTAGGTAGATAAGTTGAACAACTATATGGCAGGGCTTCTGGCTGCTTTAGGGAGTTCGAGCCTGTTTGCGTTCACCAGTAGACAAAGCCTCGAGCCTGCGAGGAGCCTTTCCCCCATGGCCGTGCTGCTCTTCTGCCTCTGGAGCTATGTCCGGGTCTCAGGGACCGGCTGGCACAAATCTCTGGTGATCTGCTTGTGCGACAACAGGTATGGGGCACGAGGGACAGGGAAAGGGTCAGGTTAAAGTGGGAAGAGATGCTGGAAGAGAAGCTGCAAGACTGTTGGTGGTGGTGGTGGTGGGGGCGACCGGCAGCGGCGGTGGATGGCTGTTGTTGCTGGTGCTGGTGACAGTCGTAGCCGTCGCAGTAGTAGCAGTAGTACACCTGCCATGACTAAGCTTGCAACAGGATCTTGGCCTGAGCTGGTGTGCGAGGGCCTCAGACCGAAGTGCCATTCGCAGGAGTGTTTTACGCTCCTCGGGTTTCTAGTTTCCAGCATACCTTGCCTATTTAGGCTATTGGCACCACACACCAAAGTCCAATTTCCCACTCATTTTTCCCAACTACTTTCTCCAACAGCAGACCACTTCATCCCCCACATTCCCGAATCACCAATGTTTTCTCAATGAGCATGCCATCAATCATCCACCACTTTTTCCAGCTTTTCAGACCTCACTTTCTCATTTTCAACCAGCCAACCACTTGCCCCGAAGCGTCCAAATCTTCAGCATCCCATGTTTCAACGAGCACGCCAACAGCCCTCACCCCCCAAAACCACACCATTTCCATTTCTCCTTCAAAAACTCAACAGATTTTGCCACCTTCTTCACCAACCTTTTAAGAACTGCACCCAAAAGCCCCGCTCCACGACCTTTTCCACCAAAACCCCCCCCCCCCCCCCCCAGCGGCAACCATTGATCCACAGCCTGATCTGCCACCCGAAAATAGGCAAAGTCCACCTCATAGAAAATCAATCCACCACCCTAGCATATCCACCCACCCCACAACCCAAGATACAATATATGAAAAAATCTATTCACACTCTAGAACCCCAATACCCCTATCCACCTAGGTGCCATAGCCCAAAATGGGCTAGGGGGTTCCTTGTAGAATTTGGTTCAGGGTTTAGGGTTAAGGGTTGCAAACCCTGAGGTTCTACGGCATGACCCCGAGGTATTTCAGAGCTACCCTGACGTATTTCCAGCTACCCCAACACCACACCCCAGCAAACTCAAGGACACACCCGCGCGAACTCAAGGACACCCGAGCGAACTCAAGGACACACCCACGCGACCTCAAGGACACACCCGCGCGAACTCAAGCCAACATCCCCACCAAGATCGCACCATGCCCCCCCTCAAAAAACAAGAAGACACACACACAGATTTTGCCACCTTCTTCACCAGCCCTTTAAGAACTGCACTAATTAAGCCCTAAACCCCAAACTCCAAACCCGAAGACCTCAACCCAGGACTGCTCATACTCAACCCTAGCCTTAAACCCCAGGCCACACCGCAGAACGCTAAGCCCTGGCCGAGCCCTAAACACTAAACCCCGGTTTTAGGGTTTGAAATTCAGAACTTGGTGAGTCCAGACAAAAGGCTTGTGGTTTGATTTTTACAATTGTCAGAGAGGATCGGCCGAGCGGTTGCTAGTCATCGGGGCGCGGGGGGGTTGCAAGGTATTGAAGGGGGGGTCGTCGTGTAGGAAGCAAACGCCTCATAAGCACAAATCGTGGTCCGCGCCGGTTGCTATGTCAGGGGGTCTTGCCATACGCCTAAATAGGCGAGGGGTTCATTGTAGATTTTGGCTCTGGCACCCCCAAAGATAGAAATTGCAGAATCGAAAAACACCGTATCCCATCCCTAGCACCCATCATTGGAAAAACATCCTTCTCCCAACAGCCCCAGAAAATACATGACCCAATACACGGTCACGATCTCTAGCGGGATACCTACACGTGCTAAAGGCTGGAAGTGGACGAGGTCTTATCAAGGTAAAATGCAAGGGGGATTCGGTCTTGTCCAGTGCGGGCATGTGCCCTCTCTTTTGGGCGCACCATTTCGTCATGTCTTCATGGCACATATCCTGAACGGGCTCTTTTGGATGTTGCAACCGAGGGTCAAAACTCGCTTTTTGCACTAGTGGAGTGACGACCGTGTCGGACAACGACCTCGACGTTCACACCATGCTGATTCAGGAGCGACCTGCTCCCAGCCTGCTGCTGTAGATTTTTGCCAACTCTGT